CATATCCGCAACTCTGTTTGCGATGCCATCGTTGGAAATGGGAATTTCCTTCATCTTCTTAGCATAGCTGCCTCTGTTCCTACAACGTAGTTGAGCCTTGTGCGAATGCAACCCGTTCTCGCACTTGCTTATAGTCAATATTGGCTTATTTAATAAGTGCACATGTGACATACTAATTGATTGTAAATATTTTAGTTTACCTTGAATAGCTTCATAGAAAACACCGACCTCACCTAACCTTCTTAGTATGTTAAGATAAGCATCTTATTGCTTCTTATTTACAATTATTACTTAACCTATCAACGGTATAGGTTAAGTAATAATTGTAGTTAAGAAGCAATAAGATGCTTATCTTAACATACTAAGAAGGTTAGGTAAGGTCGGTGTTTTTTCTGAAGCTTTTCAAGGTAAACTAAAATATTTACAATCAATTAGTATGTCACATGTGCACTTACTAAATAAGCCAATATTGACTATCAGCAAGTGCGAGAACGGGTTGGCGAATGGCACAAGGTTTAACTACGTTTTCCAGAGCTGAATGTGAAGCCTTGCAACGTATACCCTGATGTATTGGTATGCCACTTCGTAGGAAGCTTGAAGGGGCTTCCCGCCAAACACACACCGAAACTACGACGTTGGTACAACGTTCGAACAAGTTATAACACCTCCTAACCAGTTATAACAACCAATATAGCAAGTTGTAACAACGTTCTAATACGTCATATGCACGTTAAGCCAAGATGTAACAACTTTATTACAAGTTGTAACAAGCGGAAAATAGGGACAGTTTCAGTTTGTGTTTCCTGGGTTCAAGCTTCCTACGAAGTGGAAACTTGAAGCCTGCTGATCCTATCAAGCTGCTTTCTTGACCTTTAAGGGTTCGAGAGTCTGTTCTTAGTCGGCTGGATGCTCGCCTAGTGCCCCTCTTAAGTCTAGCAGGTTTCAAGTTGACAATTGTCCATCAAAAATTAATTTATTTGATCTTAGAACTTGAGTAACCTTCCAAAAAAAAGACAATCCGACAATAATGTTAACAAGTAAACGGACAGGCAGACACATTAGGTAAGTATGAGATAGCGCTAAGCCAGTATGACTATATATAGCACTCCAAGTTATAAGAAACACTGGCCTAAGAAAACATCGATAAGTTTAAAGGTTGTTAACACCTGGAACCATGTTTAGTTCAATGTTGTTTTGTGTCAGGGAGGTGGGTTCCCTCAGCGTGTAGTCCTGCCGGTCTTAAGGGAACAGTTCCATCACCAAACAAGTTCAATACCAGTAAGTGTATGTGTGTGTGTACTCACCTAACTGTGCTTGCGGGGGTTGAGCTCTGGCTCATTGGTCCCGCCTCTCTCACACACACCCGTGTGTGTGTGTGAGGGTTTTGCGAGTGTGCCTCTGATGTGTGTCATTATCAGACCAGCAGCCAACATGTCCTGACAAGAGCGCCCCTCGCTTGATAAATCTAAGCTCACGCTGTATGATATGGCAACCTATCTTATTACCAAGGATAAAATACCTGAAATCCTTGCACTGTATCCATATTTCGCTCCCAGTAGATAAACGACATATGAGATTAAGAAACAAGCAGTGTATTGTGATGACTAATAATAAACAGCAGGTCTTCTATGACTCTGCAGTGATTCTGTACCTGGTTGTTAACCGAATGGCGGGCGGTGTTCCAGGGGAAACTAGTGGGTAAGGCTTACCATGAGCTAATGAAGGGAAAGGTCTCAACCTGCTACCAGGCGTCAGCAGTCGTCTCTTCCTGTACCCACCTGTGTAAACAAAAAAGTGAAATGTTCATATTTTTTCAGTATGTTCATATTACTTGGAAAAGGTGCTATTAGTGAAGGAGAGGAGCTGTTGTTAGTGGAGAAGCGGGTGTTAAGAAGGGGAGGTGATAATGTTAGTGATGGAGAGGGGGTGGTGTTAGTGGAGGGTGAAGGAGAGGGGGTGGTGCTGTTAGTGTAGGAGGAAGGGAGTTTGCCGTTTCATTAAATACTTGAGGAAGTGGTCAACGAGGACGTTTAAGTATCATTTTCCAAGTATGTGAACGTGTAATTTCAGCTTTTCTATATATACATAAAAATGTGAAACAAAGCGACGCGCACGAACATCTGCTGCCTGCCTGCCTGCCTGCCTGCCTGCCTGCCTGCCTGCCTGCCTGCCTGCCTGCCTGCCTGCCTGCCTGCCTGCCTGCCTGCCTGCCTGCCTGCCTGCTTGCTTGGGACTACAAAATACACCTGGTCTTACTGTCGTCTTGCCTAAAAATAATCGCTAAAATGCTGCGTGCATGGTCGAGCCTTTGTCAATGGCCGGTTGCCTAGACTCCCGACCGTTGACTTAGTCTCTCTGCACACGGAAATATGAATGGAGATCGCCTCCCATAGTTTCCTTGGGTTTGTTCATTATACAACTTGAGTGCTCTCATGCACCTTAAGTGTTTCCTAGCATCTTGAGTAGAGGTTTTCCATCCGAATCCTCTCATTCCGTCCTCTCATAGAACGTGTTCATTGAAACTTTGCCACACACAGCACGTGCGCATTGAAACTTCGTTCAGATGAACTTTGATGTCATTTATAATTCACGTGGATTTGCAAACAAAAGTTATTAAGAATTGAATAATGTTATTTCGAATTCATGCAAGTTTTACTTCCTATTCTAGTTAATGAAACATTTTTAAAAAGAGTAAATTCTATTGAAATATACAAACATGCCTTGGGACGAGGCTATTAATTAAATTCACTCTTAATCCACAATTTTGCCTGCTACGATGTTATTGTTTTTCTGTGTAATATTAATGGTAATATTTTAATGGTATTATAAGGAACACTTGTACCCTTGCCCTCTGGAACACTTGTACCCTTGCCCTCTGGAACACTTGTACCCTTGCCCTCTGGAACACTTGTACCCTTGCCTCTGGAACACTTGTACCCTTGCCCTCTGGAACACTTGTACCCTTGCCTCTGGAACACTTGTACCCTTGTCCTCTGGAACACTTGGTCAGAACTGGACAAACCATAAACACATTCACACGCGGAGACTCGTCTTCGTCTGAATTTAATGATCTTAGGTGACGTTATTGACGAATAATCGGGGATCCCGGGTTCAATTCCCGGGCTGGATAGAAATGGTTGGGCACATTTTCGTTCATCTAATGCATCTGTTCACTTAGCAGTAAATAAGTACTCGGGAGTTAGACGACTGTTCTGAAGATCTTGGGGGACCTTGACACAAGACTAAAGTACATATTTTTCACAGGCTTCCTGTCCCCGACAAAATTAATTCCTAATTATTTTTCGGTAGACGATTCGCAGCCAGGCTTGAGTTATCTTGAGCCAAAGACCAAGTCACCCAACACTTCCGAACAAACAGCTGACGCGCGACGAATTTTAACGGTTTGAGAAAATGCTACACCATAAATTAGGTGCTTATACTTTATATCGCTAAATTTATAAAGTTACAAAAAATATTGTCCAATGTTCAACCTTGCTTTTTTTTTTTTTTAGGTAATCCTGCATTGAAAGACGTGAAAAAGTTATAGCTAAGTTTTATCGGCAGTTTAAAAATAAGTTCAACTCATAAAGTGGCAACTCGTTGTGGGTGGATTGGCAAGAATTGCCTTTTTGTTCGCAGAGAATAAAGACCAGTTTGGAAAAGTTTAGGCTTTTAATGTAAATGTTTTTGCTGCATATTAATGTGTTACTCTGTAATTCAAAAGGAAAAATTAATCTCGCTACCCATTGCCAGTAATATTTTCATCCGTGTCTCTCGTGATCACAACACTGACCTTTAAAAGTTCACAATTATAAAACACGTGTATCCTCTCTTGTTTGTTATAAACCCTAGTTTTGTATAAACTCTCTCTCTCTCTCTCTCTCTCTCTCTCTCTCTCGTTCTCTCTCTCTCTCTCTCTCTCTCTCTCTCTCTCTCTCTCTCTCTCTCTCTCTCTCTCTCTCTCTCTCTCTCTCTCTCTCTCTCTCTCATCAGAAATTGTGCTGATGTCTTATAAAACTACAGCCTAAAGAGCTGGTCGAAGAAACTGATTTACTTGATGATTTGATAAGCATATTACTTGAATCCATTAGGAATACTCTCTATTGAGGTTGCGATAACCAATAACGAGACTCTCCCCATAATAACTCTCCCAGTTTCTAGAAAGCTTAAATTGGCTTGACATGTCAAGTTACCTGAACATCAATCACCCACTGCAACTTTTTTTGTAACTAACTATAACTATACGACTATTATATTCAACTATATTTAAAATCTATACATCTCTGGTGCTAGCACATTCGCGTCACAAGCGAGAGGACCCAGGTTCGAATCCTGGGCAGTGTGGGATGATTAGGCACTGTTAATGCACTTACTTTGCCCCCCCCACCCTGTGCCGGTCGGCCGAGCGGACAGCACACTGCACTTGTGATCCAGTGGTCCCGGGTTCGATCCCGGGCGCCGGCGAGAAACAGTGGGCAGAGTTTCTTTCACCCTATGCCCCTGTTACCTAGCAGTAAAATAGGTACCTGGGTGTTAGTCAGCTGTCACAGGGTGCTTCCAGGGGGTGGAGGCCTGGTCGAGGACCGGGCCGCGGGGACACTAAAGCCCCGAAATCATCTCAAGATAACCTCAAGATAACCCTCCTTCCCCAGCGGCAAAAAGCAGTACTGAAAGCATGTGGTTGTTAATGAAATGGCAGATTGTGCCGAGGGCAAAGCTTGGATCTGAATAACCTAACAGGCTTGGCAGCTTTAAAGTATTCCTGAAGCACACACGTACACACGCGCGTGCGCACACACACACACTCGCACGCACGCCTACCTTGAGCATGATAACTAGCGAGCGAGCTCCGTGTTTCAGCACCGCCAATTACCCATTAAACGTTCAAGTCTAGGTCGAAACTACGATTACGGTTAGGGAGGAAAATATGACCTATTACGTTCTTCATGCCGACAATTGCTGCTTGTGTAGTCGGAGTTTGTATATTATGTAGTGCGTACTTAGCGGTGTGTAGCAAGTCCGGCCCCTGGCTTAGGGGGAGTGGTCTCCAGTCCCTGGTTTAGGGCAGTGCTCTCCAGTCCCTGGCTTAGGGCAGTGCTCTCCAGTCCCTGGCTTAGGGCAGTGCTCTCCAGTCCCTGGCTTAGGGCAGTGCTCTCCAGCCCCTGGCTTAGGGCAGTGCTCTCCAGTCCCTGGCTTAGGGCAGTGCTCTCCAGTCCCTGGCTTAGGGTAGTGGTCTCCAGTCCCTGGCTTAGGGCAGTGCTCTTCAGTCCCTGGTTTAGGGCAGTGCTCTCCAGTCCCTGGCTTAGGGTAGTGGTCTCCAGTCCCTGGCTTAGGGCAGTGCTCTCCAGTCCCTGGCTTAGGGCAGTGCTCTCCAGTCCCTGGCATAGGGGAGTGCTCTCCAGTCCCTTGCTTAGGGCAGTGCTCTTCAGTCCCTTGCTTAGGGCAGTGCTCTCCAGTCCCTGGCTTAGGGGAGTGCTCTCCAGTCCCTGGCTTAGGGCAGTGCTCTCCAGTCCCTGGCTTAGGGCAGTGCTCTCCAGTCCCTGGCTTAGGGGAGTGCTCTCCAGTCCCTGGCTTAGGGCAGTGCTCTCCAGTCCCTGGCTTAGGGCAGTGCTCTCCAGTCCCTGGCTTAGGGCAGTGCTCTCCAGTCCCTGGCTTAGGGGAGTGCTCTCCAGTCCCTGGCTTAGGGCAGTGCTCTTCAGTCCCTGGCTTAGGGCAGTGCTCTCCAGTCCCTGGCTTAGGGCAGTGCTCTCCAGTCCCTTGCTTAGGGCAGTGGTCTCCAGTCCCTGGCTTAGGGCAGTGGTCTCCAGTCCCTGGCTTAGGGCAGTGCTCTCCAGTCCCTGGCTTAGGGCAGTGCTCTCCAGTCCCTGGCTTAGGGGAGTGCTCTCCAGTCCCTGGCTTAGGGCAGTGGTCTCCAGTCCCTGGCTTAGGGCAGTGGTCTCCAGTCCCTGGCTTAGGGCAGTGGTCTCCAGTCCCTGGCTTAGGGCAGTGGTCTCCAGTCCCTGGATTAAGGGAGTGCTCTCCAGTCCCTGGCTTAGGGCAGTGGTCTCCAGTCCCTGGCTTAGGGCAGTGGTCTCCAGTCCCTGGCTTAGGGCAGTGGTCTCCAGTCCCTGGCTTAGGGCAGTGCTCTCCAGTCCCTGGCTTAGGGCAGTGCTCTCCAGTCCCTGGGTTAGGGCAGTGCTCTCCAGTCCTGGCTTAGGGCAGTGCTCTCCAGTCCCTGGCTTAGGGCAGTGCTCTCCAGTCCCTGGCTTAGGGGAGTGCTCTCCAGTCCCTGGCTTAGGGCAGTGGTCTCCAGTCCCTGGCTTAGGACAGTGGTCTCTAATCCCTGGCTTAGGGCAGTGGTCTCCAGTCCCTGGCTTAGGGCAGGGCTCTCCAGTCCCTGGCTTAGGGCAGTGGTCTCCAGTCCCTGGCTTAGGGCAATGCTCTCCAGACCCTGCCTTAGGGGAGTGGTCTCCAGTCCCTGGCTTAGGGGAGTGGTCTCCAGTCCCTGGCTTAGGGGAGTGGTCTCCAGTCCCTGGCTTAGGGCAGTGGTCTCCAGTCCCTGGCTTAGGGCAATGCTCTCCAGTCCCTGGCTTAGGGGAGTGGTCTCCAGTCCCTGACTTAGGGCAGTGCTCTCCAGTCCCTGACTTAGGGCAGTGCTCTCCAGTCCCTGGCTTAGGGCAGTGCTCTCCAGTCCCTGGCTTTAGAGACTCCCCAGTCCTGGGCGGTGAAAACTTTATCGTGTTGGTTAAGAGCATAATACTCTTTGTTCTCTGCTTGAGGGATATCAATCCAATACGCAGCTCAAAGGCTCTCTCTCGTGCGAACTTTTAGAGCGCATTCTCCCCAGCTTAGCTTAAAAAGGCTCGGTAGAGCACAGCTTGGTGAATCCGTCTCCTGGGCGCTAATTAAGACCACTATTTTCCATGTATTGAAAGGATGTTCTGCCATGCGAAGTTCTAGAACGTTCTTCCCATGTAAATGTACTTACATCCCCATGTAAATATATTTAAAAGTAAACATTGAATCCATACTAGAGCTAGAGAAACCGCAGCGCTCTAGAGGTGCAAGAAAACGTTTTCATTAGGGAGACATTCAAAGAGTTTTGAGACTGTTGAAGTAAGGGCAGCGTGGCGATACTTTGAAATGTTGGAACCGTCGCCTTTGTCGAAGACAGGTAGAACATAGCACGTTTGATATTGGGAACGGACGTTGAAGACAGCAAGAGCGTGGAAACACAGTTCGATGATACTCCTATTGTATACTACCATAGCCTACTACCGAAGCCTATTACCATGGCACACTTCATATCACACTCCTATAGTGTCCGGGAAAGGGGGACACATTACCTAGGGAATGGCTCCTCGATGTTCAATTTCTGAAAGGCATTAAACAGTTAACTGAGATTGAGGGAGCGAGGCTGAGGATTTATCAGAGGCAAAAATAGGACGGTCAGATAGGCTGGAATCCTGCAAGTTCAAATACTAAGCGTGTCCAAGTGGTCAGCTGTGCTGGAGGAAGAGGCATCTATTAATACAGCTGAATTAAACAAAAGGAGGAAAATACGACTACCAGAATTTCTGAGAATATTATGTAGCAAGAAATCGGTGGGTGATTTCAGAGAGATTAAACATGATAGATCACCACACGCCTCGGTTAAGGAAGTTGGGCCCAGTATTACAAAATATATATTTTACTTGACTCCTTGCAGAGCCAAAGAGAGTGGTTCGCTACAAGAGCTAAATTGATTTTTATGAACATTATTTTTATGAACACTAACTACCTATTCCATTGATAAAGTCTTTTAAGGCCCCTTAAACCAATGTCCACTCAGCAGAGCGGAAGTGTCTTAAGGAAGCGGGGAAGTTAACAAAGAGATTGAGCTTGAATTGGTTAATGAACAAGATGCAGAAATTAGCTCATTATCAGAAGATCCTGAATGGGCAGACATGGTATAATTATTTGTCAAGTGATTAGTAATAAAAAAGATCACGAGTGCGTGGATGTTTATTTGGAATATATATGGAGTTTGAAATGACCAGGCGATGAGTCACAATAACTTGAGAATCGACTTGAGAATGGTCCAGGACGGACCGAAACGTCGTCGTCACTTCACCTTCTAGTGTGTGGTCTGGTCAATCTAGTTTGAAATGAGTTGCTCTAGATAGTTAGAAAGGTTGAGAGCTGCTGCTCTCTTATAAATCCGTACCAAAAAAAGGAGCCAAATATCTAATCAAACATTAACATCTCCCAATAAAATAACTCCAGCAAAAGAACACAACAAAAGATCTTCAGACTGAAGTGCACTGCAACCCAATAAGTCAGAGCAGTTAAGAGGAATTACAAACCAGATAAACAGCTGTTGATGAATACAGGAGATAGTGATTTAGAGTGAGAGGCGTTAGTATGACGGTAGACACAGGGTGGTTAATCTAGAGTGGCTCATCTAAGGGACAAATTACCGGTTAACATACTGTAATATACATGGGGATCACTTAGTTGCTTCAAGCGAAGGTTAGACATATATACATGTGAATTTCATTTTGTATTTTTATTTTATTTATATACAAGAAGGTACAATAGGTTTGCGAGAGTACATAACATTGGTGTTGTTACATTCTTGCAAAGTCACTAACACGCATAGCGATCCTTGCAGATACAAATTTGGGTGGATATAAATAGGAGTTGCCTTGTATAACGCTAATAGACCTTCTGTAGGAGTCTTAATTCTTATTTTCACAGTAAAAAAAACTTACCGGCGATTCTATATGTCTGGAAATGAATATGGACCCCCTCTTAAGTAAAGATTTTGATGCTATAAACAAATCCACAAGGGCCGTGATGAGGGTTCGAACCCACGTCCGAAAGGATCCCAGACGCGCCTTGTTATTTTTTTTTTTTTTTTTTTTTTTTTTTTTTTTTTTTTGAGATATATACAAGAGTTGTTACATTCTTGTACAGCCACTAGTACGCGTAGCGTTTCGGGCAGGTCCCTGGAATACGATCCCCGCCGCGAAGAATCGTTGTTACAACCAAGTACACATTTTACTGTTGAGTTAAACAGAGGCTACAGTTAAGGATTTGCGCCCAGTAAATCCTCCCCGGCCAGGATACGAACCCATGACAAAGCGCTCGCGGAACGCCAGGCGAGTGTCTTACCACTGCACCACGGAGACTGCAATTTTCATTTGACGCATTACGCTATTGTGATTTCTGTGTATTTTGATGCTATTTTTGGCAAAGCCATAATAGCAAACTAGTTTATGATGGTTCTAGTTTTGATTTAGTTTGATCATGTTAATTAGGTTACTAATTGATAACTTCATTCTACCTTGAAAGTATTAAGAACCTTAAATCAGAGTATTCAGGACGTTAAATATTGAACTCAAGTTTCGTTATTCTGTAACAAATTATCAAGTACATTATACGTATATCATGTGACAAACGCCGGGCATCATACGATAAACGTCGTATACACCGTGTGATAAACGTCGTATACACCGTGTGATAAACGTCGTATACACCGTGTGATAAACGTCGTATACACCGTGTGATAAACGTCGTATACACCGTGTGATAAACGTCGTATACACCGTGTGATAAACGTCGTATACACCGTGTGATAAACGTCGTATACACCGTGTGATAAACGTCGTATACACCGTGTGATAAACGTCGTATACACCGTGTGATAAACGTCGTATACACCGTGTGATAAACGTCGTATACACCGTGTGATAAACGTCGTATACACCGTGTGATAAACGTCGTATACACCGTGTGATAAACGTCGTATATGCCGTGATAAACGTCGTATATACCGTGATAAACGTCGTATACACCGTGTGATAAACGTCGTATACACCTTGTGATAAACGTCGTATACACCTTGTGATAAACGTCGTATACACCGTGTGATAAACGTCGTATACACCGTGTGATAAACGTCGTATGATAACCGTCGTATACATCGTATGATAACCCTCGTACACACTGTATGATAACCGTCGTACATCAAGTGATTAACATGGGAGAGGGTTTAATCATTCTAGGATGGGTTTGGCGTGCAGGGGAAAGGTGAGCCAACTCGGTGATAGGATTAATAGGTAGAGCAGTAAATTAGGCACGATCTCCATTATTACCTCATAAGAGAGAACTGTTTTGCATGTAAAGTAGATGTTGCTAGGAGTCGTCGTTCCCTTTGTTATGGAACACCACCACCACTCCGGTTTGTTGCTGCCGGGGTGACGACAAAGGGGCAGCCAGGCAGAGATCCACACACACACACACAGACCCCGTGTGTGTGTGTGTGTGTGTGTGTGTGTTTGTGTGTATGTACACTCACCTAGTTGTGCTTGCGCGGGTTGAGCTCTGGCTCTTTGGTCCCGGGGTAGTGTGTGTGTGTGTGTGTGTGTTTATTTTCAGTGTTATATGACAAAGAGTGCTGGGAAGACGGGACACCACGAGCGTAGCTCTCATCCTGTAACTACACTTAGGTAATTACACACACACACACACACACACACACACACACACACACACACACACACACACACACACACACACACACACACACACACATACACACACATACACACACACGAGAGACAGACCCAGACAGACGAAGATTAAAAAACATGGAAAGATAATAATATTTTGTGTTATCAATATTATTAATTTCCTTTAAATAGTATGCACAGGGTAAATAATTCAATGTATACATTTGTTTCATTGAAACGAACTCTCATGACAGAACCAGCATGAAGGTAGTAGCCTGGTGCTACATCGACACTCCCAGCAGGTCGTTCACTCTTCTATGACTGGAATCCGGTTTTGCCTCAATATATTTGAGGGAAGGAGGATTACTCTGTAGGTTCTTGTGTATAAACAATTTCTACATTGGCTGGTTGCACCGTCAGCCAAAGCCTAGTGATAGGATATTATTTATGTTTCATTAATGAATTATGAACTTAAAGCTTTGTAAACTAAATCGTTGATGAACGTATAATCATTTATGAATAAAGTTTTTTTTTTTTTAGATTTTTAGCACTTCAATGCTTGACAATTTGAAAATCTCGAGGTATTTTCATTCCTTTATTTTGCATAATTTTACGAGTTTCTTTGTTCTATACTGGCAGTGGGGAACGTTTGGGTATTAGTCCTTTGTTCGAGACCTGAATATGGCTTTGTTTGTGCCCTGAGGCTGCTGATTGCTTTGTTTTGTGCCCCTGAGGCTGCTGATTGCTTTGTTTGTGCCCCTGAGGCTGCTGATTGCTTTGTTTGTGCCCCTGAGGCTGCTGATTGCTTTGTTTTGTGCCCTGAGGCTGCTGATTGCTTTGTTTGTGCCCTGAGGCTGCTGATTGCTTTGTTTTGTGCCCTGAGGCTGCTGATTGCTTTGTTTTGTGCCCTGAGGCTGCTGATTGCTTTGTTTGTGCCCTGAGGCTGCTGATTGCTTTGTTTTGTGCCCTGAGGCTGCTGATTGCTTTGTTTGTGCCCCTGAGGCTGCTGATTGCTTTGTTTGTGCCCCTGAGGCTGCTGATTGCTTTGTTTTGTGCCCTGAGGCTGCTGATTGCTTTGTTTTGTGCCCCTGAGGCTGCTGATTGCTTTGTTTTGTGCCCTGAGGCTGCTGATTGCTTTGTTTGTGCCCTGAGGCTGCTGATTGCTTTGTTTGTGCCCTGAGGCTGCTGATTGCTTTGTGCCCTTTGTGCTTTGTTGTGCCCTGAGGCTGCTGATTGCTTTGTTTGTGCCCTGAGGCTGCTGATTGCTTTGTTTGTGCCCTGAGGCTGCTGATTGCTTTGTTTTGTGCCCTGAGGATGCTGATTGCTTTGTTTGTGCCCTGAGGCTTGCTTTGTGTTTGTGCCCCTGAGGCTGCTGATTGCTTTGTTTGTGCCCTGAGGCTTTGATTGCTTTGTTTGTGCCCTGAGGCTGCTGATTGCTTTGTTTGTGCCCTGAGGCTGCTGATTGCTTTGTTTGTGCCCTGAGGCTGTTGATTGCTTAGTTTGTGCCCTGAGGCTGCTGATTGCTTTGTTTGTGCCCTGAGGCTGCTGATTGCTTTGTTTGTGCCCTGAGGCTTTGATTGCCCCTGAGGCTGCTGATTGCTTTGTTTGTGCCCTGAGGCTGCTGATTGCTTTGTTTGTGCCCCTGAGGCTGTTGATTGCTTAGTTTGTGCCCTTGTTTGTGCCCTGAGGCTGCTGATTGCCCCTGAGGCTGCTGATTGCTTTGTTTTCAGACCTGAGGCTGCTGATTGCTTTGTTTGTGCCCCTGAGGCTGTTGATTGCTTACTTTGTGCCCTGAGGCTGCTGATTGCTTAGTTTGTGCCCCTGAGGCTGCTGATTGCTTACTTTGTGTCCCTGAGGCTGCTGATTGCTTACTTTGTGCCCCTGAGGCTGCTGATTGCTTAGTTTGTGCCCCTGAGGCTGCTGATTGCCCCTGAGGCTGCTGATTGCTTACTTTGTGTCCCTGAGGCTGTTGATTGCTTACTTTGTGCCCCTGAGGCTGCTGATTGCTTTGTTTGTGCCCTGAGGCTGCTGATTGCTTTGTTTGTGCCCTGAGGCTGCTGATTGCTTTGTTTGTGCTGTGCTGATTGCTTATTGCTTTTGTGCCCCTGAGGCTGCTGATTGCTTTGTTTGTGCTTTGTTTGTGCCCCCTGAGGCTGTGCTGATTGCTTTGTGCCCCTTTGTGCCCTGAGGCTGCTGATTGCTTTGTTTGTGCCCCTGAGGCTGTTGATTGCTTATTGCTTTGTTTTGTGCCCTGAGGCTGCTGATTGCTTTGCTTTGTGCCCTGAGGCTGCTGATTGCTTTGTTTGTGCCCCTGAGGCTGTTGATTGCTTACTTTGTGCCCCTGAGGCTGCTGATTGCTTTGTTTGTGCCCTGAGGCTGCTGATTGCTTTGTGCCCTGAGGCTGCTGATTGCTTTGTTTTGTGCCCCTGCTTACCCTGAGGCTGCTTTGTGCCCCTGAGGCTGTTGATTGCTTACTTTGTGCCCTGAGGCTGCTGATTGCTTTGTTTGTGCCCCTGAGGATGCTGATTGCTTTGTTTGTGCCCCTGAGGCTGTTGATTGCTTTGTTTTGAGACTTAATCTGCTTATTGCATTTTGTTTCGTCTACCTAACCTACCTAACCTAACCTAACATAGCTTTTTTTGGCTACCTAACCTAACCTTACCTATAAATATAGGTTAGGTTAGGTTAGGTAGGGTTGGTTAGGTTCGGTCATATATCTACGTTAATTTTAACTCCAATACAAAAAAATTGACCTCATACATAGAGAAAAGGGTTGCTTTATCATTTCATAAGAAAAAAATTATAGTAAATATATTAATTCAGGAAAACTTGGCTTATTAGGCAAATCGGGCCTTGAATAGTAGGCTGAGAAGTGAGTTCTGGCTACTAGGTACGACATATATATATATATATATATATATATATATATATATATATATATATATATATATATATATATGCGTCTGGCTGCCTTCCACACACGGCTGTTGTCAGCGCTCACAAAGTCGTGGACGATAATTACCTGATGCAACGAGACATTTCATTTCGGGTGATTGGCAAGGAATGCGCTGTGCTTGCGTAACGCTGAGCATTGCCCGTTAGACACGGATGGAATGCATTAGGCAGTGATGTGGTGGAGGCTGACTCCATACACAGTTTTAAATGTAGATATGATAGAGCCCAGTAGGCTCAGGAATCTGTACACCAGTTGATTGACAGTTGAGAGGCGGGACCAAAGAGCCAAAGCTCAACCCCCGCAAGCACAAATAGGTGAGTACAAATAGGTGAGTACAGGAGGTAGTTAGTGGGTACTCAACAGCCTATCCTCCTGTTTAGATGCTACGCAGTAACGGCGTGGACCATCTTATATATATATATATATATATATATATATATATATATATATATATATATATATATATATATATATATATATATATATATAACTGAAAACTCACACCCCAGAAGTGACTCGAACCCATATTCCCAGGAGCAACGCAACTGGTATGTACAAGACGCCTTAATCCACTTGACCATCACGACCGGACATAATGAGGTGATAGCCGAGGCTATTTGAACCACCCCACCGCCGGCACTCGGATAGTAATCTTGGGCATAGCATTTTACCAAATCACCTCATTCTTTGGGGCACACGTGAGGAACACAAATGCGAACAAGCCTGAATGGTCCCCAGGACAATATGCAACTGAAAACAATATGCAACTGATAGCCTCGGCTATCACCTCATTATGTCCGGTCGTGATGGTCAAGTGGATTAAGGCGTCTTGTACATACCAGTTGCGTTGCTCCTGGGAGTATGGGTTCGAGTCACTTCTGGGGTGTGAGTTTTCAGTTGCATATTGTCCTGGGGACCATTCAGGCTTGTTCGCATTTGTGTTCCTCACGTGTGCCCCAAAGAATGAGGTGATTTGGTAAAATGCTATGCCCAAGATTACTATCCGAGTGCCGGCGGTGGGGTGGTTCAAATAGCCTCGGCTATCACCTCATTATGTCCGGTCGTGATGGTCAAGTGGATTAAGGCGTCTTGTACATACCAGTTGTGTTGCTCCTGGGAGTATGGGTTCGAGTCACTTCTGGGGTGTGAGTTTTCAGTTGCATATTGTTCTGGGGACCATTCAGGCTTGTTCGCATTTGTGTTCCTCACGTGTGCCCCAAAGAATGAGGTGATTTGGTAAAATGCTATGCCCAAGATTACTATCCGAGTGCCGGCGGTGGGGTGGTTCAAATAGCCTCGGCTATCACCTCATTATGTCCGGTCGTGATGGTCAAGTGGATTAAGGCGTCTTGTACATACCAGTTGTGTTGCTCCTGGGAGTATGGGTTCGAGTCACTTCTGGGGTGTGAGTTTTCAGTTGCATATTGTCCTGGGGACCATTCAGGCTTGTTCGCATATATATATATATATATATATATATATATATATATATATATATATATATATATATATATATATATATATATATATATATATATATGTGTGTGTGTGTGTGTGTGTGTGTGTGTCACGAAAATAAACACGTGATTAAAAATGTGACAATATCAGACCACGGAGGAAAAATGAAACAGGAATTTCCTTAGGTACTTTCGTATATTAATACATCTTCAGAAGGAGTGAAGACTCCTTCTGAAGATGTATTAATATACGAAAGTACTTAAGGAAATTCCTGTTTCACTTTTCCTCCGTGGTCTGACATTGTCATATATATATATATATATATATATATATATATATATATATATATATATATATATATATATATATATATATATATATGTCCATCTCGATGGACACTTAAGAAATAGAATTTGGTTTGGACAAACAGGAAAAGGTTTTGTATTTATGTTGATAATAAAACCTGACCTAACTGTCCTAGGCCTAATATATTCTATCTGAAGCGTAATATAGTACATGTGTGTGCTTTACTAGGCCTAGGAACATTTAAGTTTGTTTTTAACTTTTTTCCGGCCTATAAAGTGAAGAGTACCAAATTCTACTGTCTAATTGTCCATTACGTCAATATATGTATGGTGATGTACATGGTTGGAAAAAGTACTGTGTGAATGTGAGGATGGGTTGGTACTCCGGGCTAGACACTGGAGGTCCTGGACACTCTTGATACAACCCGTCCTCACATCCATTCCATCCAGCCGTCGACCCCACAGACGCATTCATAAATTTTAACATGCTGTTCATTCAAAACGGGGATTTTATCAAATATAAATTATTATTTTATATTAGTATATTGTACATATTTAGGCATAGGTTAGGTTAGGTTAGATGTTTAGGTTCTGTTGGCAATTATTTGTATTTGTAGTACGTGGGTGAAGAATTTACAGCGTTGTGGTTCGAATAAAAGTCGTCAGTGAAGCACTTGTTCCAGAAGTGTTCGAACGAAATCAGTTGTGAGTCGTGTGTAAACCGTTTTCATTCATAAATGGGGGTTTGGCGGTGCATGGAATCACTTTTGGGTCTTAGGAGGAATGGCTGCTCGGTGAAGCATTGTTGAGTATTCTTGGAACGTCATCAGTCGAGTTGTGTGTTCAGCATTTTGCATTAATAAACAGGGAGGTTTGGCGGCTGAATTAACGAGCATTTGGGCTGTGTTTATGAGGGCGGACTGTCACTAATTTATACAATTCGAAAACACTTCCAGTTGTACAGCTGTAAAATTTGCTTATTGTAAGACATAAATTGAAAACATACAACTTAAAATTAAAGGAGCAAGACATATTGACAAAACGTGTCATTTATTTATATTAGAATAATGAGATTTACATATCCAAATAACTATTTAAAAGATATGAGTATATAAGAACACTTTGGGAGAGACATTGTACATAATGTCATAAGTTCATCATACACAGTTCAAGGGCAACTTGGACCAAGCTGTAACAAGAATCTGGTTTAGTCAATATTCAGGTTGTTCAGCACCCAGCTATCTGCGTGTGACAGGCGTGTGGCGATAAGAGAGTGCCTGAAAAAATACAGCTTACCCCTGAATCCCTAATGACAAAAGGCGATGGTTCCAGAGTGAATTATTCTTCATATTAGTAGGCATTAAAAGCCGCCCCTAATGGTAGCGAGGGCACCACTTAATGGGCAATGAGGGCACCACCTAATAGTAATGGGCAATAAGGGGCACCACCCAACGTAGTGGGCAATAAGGGGCACCACCCAACGTAGTGGGCAATAAGGGGCACCACCCAACGTAGTGGGCAATAAGGGGCACCACCCAACGTAGTGGGCAATAAGGGGCACCACCCAACGTAGTGGGCAATAAGGGGCACCACCCAACGTAGTGGGCAATAAGGGGCACCACCCAACGTAGTGGGCAATAAGGGGCACCACCCAACGTAGTGGGCAATAAGGGGCACCACCCAACGTAGTGGGCAATAAGGGGCACCACCCAACGTAGTGGGCAATAAGGGGCACCACCCAACGTAGTGGGCAATAAGGGCACCACCCAACGTAGTGGGCAATAAGGGGCACCACCCAACGTAGTGGACAATAAGGGGCACCACCCAACGTAGTGGGCAATAAGGGGCACCACCCAACGTAGTGGGCAATGAGGGCACCACCCAACGTAGTGGGCAATGAGGGCACCACCCAACGTAGTGGGCAGTGAGGGCACCACCCAACGTAGTGGGCAATGAGGGCACCACCCAACGTAGTGGGCAATGAGGGCACCACCCAACGTAGTGGGCAATGAGGGCACCACCCAACGTAGTGGGCAATAAGGGGCACCACCCAACGTAGTGGGCAATGAGGGCACCATCGTGAATCCCGCTGCGAATAACATGCAAGACCGCATTCAAAAGTAGATTAAATCCATTGTGTTCGCACTCTTGCGAATATTTTGTATTGCAATAATATGTGAGCCGTATGTTATATCTGCCACCAATTATAAAACCGGTGCCAGACTGCGGTAAATGCATTAAGTTCCTGCACGCGAGACCGTCTGCCATTTCACAACTCCCGGTTATTAAACACTATAGGCACTTTTATGAAGTTGGAAAGTTGTGTAAATCTGGTGAGAGAGAGACCGGGTCATAAAGAAACATTGGAACAAAACTTTTCAATTATGTTGCTGGAAGTTATGACTAGCGGTAAGGAGCGCCGGGGACCTTGCTTTGTTTTGCTTGTTGTGGCGCTGATCAGTGCCTGCGTCACTTGTATCTAGTGAGAGTATACGCCTGTTGTCTGGTAGTCCAGGGAGCCGGTCGGCCGAGCGGACAGCACGTTGGACTTGTGATCCTGTGGTCCTGGATTCGATCCCAGGCGCCGGCGAGAAACAATGGGCAGAGTTTCTTTCACCCTATGCCCCTGTTACCTAGCAGTAAAATAGGTACCTGGGTGTTAGTCAGCTGTCACGGGCTGCTTCCTGGGGGTGGAGGCCTGGTCGAGGACCGGGCCGCAGGGACACTAAAGCCCCGAAATCATCTCAAGATAACCTCAAGAAGAAGATAGTCTGGGTGCGTAATGGTGAGGGGTCTAGCTGGGTTTTGTGGCATTCATATATCTTTTTTTTTTTTTTTTGAGATATATACAAGAGTTTTACATTCTTGAACAACCACTAGTACACGTAGCTTTGCGGGCAAGTCCCTCCATGGAATACGACCCCCACGAAGAATCATTTATACAACCAAGTACACATTTTACTGTTGAGTTAAACAGAGGCTACAGTTAAGGATTTGCGCCCAGTAAATCCTCTCCGGCCAGGATACGAACCCATGACAAAGCGCTCGCGGAACGCCAGGCGAGTGTCTTACCACTACTCCACGGACTCATCTCTTCGCATGAAAGGTTTCCACTTCCTGGGATTAATGTTGTTACCTTTCTCTGAACTTGTTTATATGAATTTTATGTGCATTTTATAGTATGGCGACTAAAACTGGAGTGCATACTCTACACGAGGTCAAACAAGGACAGGATATAGATGAAGAATAACATTATTATGGTTAAGGCTTCTAGAGATCATCCCCAGTGGCCTGTTTGCCTTATACCTAACATTTATGTAATGATTTTTTGTTTACATTTGATCCTAACTAATCATGATTCCCAGATATTTTTCGCTTTCAGACTTCGCAGTTTGAACACTATCACTCATATGTTTGATAACTTTTATGATTACCTAGCCTCGGAACCCTACATTATACATCAGCAGTCCCCGTGGCGAAGTGGTAACCCACCCGCCTGGCGTTTCGCTATCGCTTTGGCCTGGGTTCGTATCCTAACCCAGGGAGGATTTATTAGACGTCAGTCCTTAACTGTAGCCTCTGTTCACCCAGCAGTGAATGGGCACCTGGTTATTAAACGATTCGGCGGGTCGTATTCCGGGGAAAATTAGGATTAAGGGCCTGCCCGAAGCGCTATGCGTGCTGGTGGATGCACAAGACTGTAAAAACTCTTGTATAAATAAATAGATAAATAAATAGCAATTCAACTGCATCTTTAAAACTTTAATTTCATGAAAGTTTTAAAGGTCTTTTAAATTTATTCCATGTTCTATTTTTTATCGTCCGCAAATTTGCAAATACTGCTGTTGAATCCCGTATTTAAATAATATATATATATATATATATATATATATATATATATATATATATATATATATATATATATATATATATATATATATATATATATGTCGTACCTAGTAGCCAGAACGCACTTTTCAGCCTACTATGCAAGGCCTGATTTGCCTAATAAGCCAAGTTTTCATGACTTAATTGTTTTTCGACTACCTAACCTACCTAACCTAACCTAACCTAACTTTTTCGGCAACCTAACCTATGAAGATAGGTTAGGTTAGGTTAGGTAGGGTTGGTTAGGTTCGGTCATATATCTACGTTAATTTTAACTCCAATAAAAAAAAATTTACCTCATACATAATGAAATGGGTAGCTTTATCATTTCATAAGAAAAAAATTAGAGAAAATATATTAATTCGGGAAAACTTGGCTTATTAGGCAAATCGGGCCTTGCATAGTAGGCTGAAAAGTCCGTTCTGGCTACTAGGTACGATATATATATATATATATATATATATATATATATATATATATATATATATATATATATATATATATATATATATATATATATATTGGTGTATACTGGCAGCAGGTTTTCTTTCAAACATGTTTCATTGAATATGACCGCATATTCTGTATTTATTATTTTCTGGTTTAGGGCTTCTATCCCTCTAACTATTTTCTTAGCATCAGGGCTTAATTGAAATAGGAGTTCTCCAAAACTCATTTTCGTACTTTTAAGGTGAAGAAAAGAAGTGATTTACTATAGAGTGTATTACACTTATTTGTATAATTTGCACGACGTTTCGAACCTCCATGGTTCATTCTCAAGTGAACAGATCTTACAATACTAGTTGATTTTATACCCGCATTAGGTCAGGTGATAATACAATGAAGGTGAAAACATGGGGGGATACATAAGGGATGAATGTGAGGTGAAACATTGAGGCTGCAGAAGGCTTATTGGCCCATACGAGGCATCTCCCATCTAAACACAAAGATTAATCCAGTGTAATTGGCCTGTTATGTTGGACATTGTCTTCTGTGTTGGCATCGATATGTTCTTGTCTTGTCCTTACTCTCATGGTGGGTAGAGTAAATAGTTCCGTGATTTGGGTGTTCATGGTAGGTCGCTCTATTCTTATGTGAATTGCCTCAAGAATTTGTAATCTTCTTGAATCTTGGGTTTTATCTATTATGCAAGTAATTACTTGCATAATAGAAGTAATTACTGCAGAAGTAATTTACTGGCTGCAGAAGTAATTACTTCTGCAGCCTCTATGTTTCACCTCACATTCATCCCTTATGTATCCCCCCATGTTTTCACCTTCATTGTATTATCACCTGACCTAATGCGGGTATAAAATCAACTAGTATTGTAAGATCTGTTCACTTGAGAATGAACCATGGAGGTTCGAAACGTCGTGCAAATTATACAAATAAGTGTAATACACTCTATAGTAAATCACTTCTTTTCTTCACCTTAAAAGTACGAAAATGAGTTTTGGAGAACTCCTATTTCAATTAAGCCCTGATGCTAAGAAAATAGTTAGAGGGATAGAAGCCCTAAACCAGAAAATAATAAATACAGAATATGCGGTCATATTCAATGAAATATATATATATATATATATATATATATATATATGTCGTACCTAGTAGCCAGAACTCACTTCTCAGCCTACTATTCAAGGCCCGATTTGCCTAATAAGCCAAGTTTTCCTGAATTAATATATTTACTATATTTTTTTTCTTATGAAATGATAAAACAACCCTTTTCTCTATGTATGAGGTAATTTTTTTTTTATTGGAGTTAAAATTAACGTAGATATATGACCGAACCTAACCAACCCTACCTAACCTAACCTAACCTATATTTATCGGTAAGGTTAGGTTAGGTAGCCAAAAAAAGCTAGGTTAGGTTAGGTTAGGTAGGTTAGGTAGACGAAAAAACATTAATTCATGAAAACTTGGCTTATTAGGCAAATCG